AACGTCAATATAAACGTTTGTTCTGTGTAAAAATTGCAAGCTTCTGCGTTTGCGTAATTAGGAATTTTGACAAAAATCGACTGGACAGAGCTTTTTCTCCGAAAAACTGCTTCAATTGTATTGTTTTCATGCTTCTACTTTTCCCTCGGATTTTTACTTTAGTCTTGATATGGTTTTGAGTATACTTTGAGCGATGCCATGTACGTCACTTGTTTACGACAACATCTCATTCAAACCGTTATTCAGTACATTGCATTCGGTATGTGTAGACTATCGCTGTTGAAACTGTCGAACCATAATTTGACATTATGTTTGCCATTCAAACCGACAGATCTAACTACTCAAACGTGGCTTTATTTCAAGCATTTTGTTCTCCACTCTTTGAACACGATTGCATGCTTCACTCACTCGCATCAATTTATGACCGACGAAGTAACAAAATATTTTATGGATTTATCTTAGTGAGCAAATATTTCGTGACCAAAAATGATATCTACCAAACTTGATAGCCATTTTTGGGTCTGTATACACGAAAAGAAAACATTCCTCCGCTTGCTATGGAGTTTGTTTCAATTGAATTGAGTCGATCTGATAAAGAAAAAATGAGAGAAGTAAAAAAAAACGAGAAGGACGCTTGCTTTCTGGTTGTACTTGTAACAAGTAAGCAAAATGTTGCGTTATTTTGTCAACACAATCAGCCGCTTTATCGTTATCAATCGGATTTTATGACTAGCAATGGTTCCACTTAACTTTTCATAATAAAAAAGAAAACTGTATAAAATTCATTGTAGCAATGTTTCAAAGTTTTGATCTCATTTCAAAGAGAAAGAAGAAAATTGGCGGTGCTAGACGAAATGTGGCGGAAGAGCGCCATATGTTCATTTGTTCATCAGTAATAAGCACCTGGTAAATGGCGAAATACCAACTGAATGATGTTATTCGCTGCATATTTCTTGTTATAAAGACTTTTTGATCAAATTATGATTAAGTTCGTGTGTTTGCCCATGAAATTTCTTGTAATGACTCTCAAATATGGACCCAAATCGGAAACGAAAAATTTTCAAGCTCGGAACATGCACACATATAATCACAGCGAAACATATTATCACGGTTCGAAGAATTTTCTTCGTGTTTTTTTTTCGATGCTACTGCTCAACGAAAGCATCTTTTTTCGATATTGATTGGATTAGTCCTGTTCTTCTTTCTGATGGCACAGATTTATTTTGCGTCATTTTCTCATGGCGGCACATTATTAACGAGAAAATCCAGCGACAAAGGAAACGACCAAAAACCGAAGCAAGAGCAAGTAGGATAGAAGGAAAAACCGAATGAAAGAACATGACAAAAAATACGATAAAAAGAAAGCTTTAAAGCAAATTACGATAATTCTTTCCTGCTGCCGATCGACGATGCTGTTCGTGTACTACTTTTTAGAAATAATCACGCTATTGTTATGGTGTTTTTTTCTTTTCCTCGCACACTCACTCACTCGGTTTCTCCGTCTCCCTCTCTCGATCTCTCTTTTTCCCGTTTTCGTTCGTTTTTCATTTGAATGCTTTTTGCGCTAGCGAAACGCCAATACACAGTTCTGTTTGTTATTTCACGCTGATTGCTTTTCAGGTTCAGTTTTCTTAAGTCCCTGTTTCGTCGTCTCAATGAGATTAAAATATAAGCACGTACCATACACGTTTTGCGCACACACACACACATACATACACTCACAAGAATAGCACGAGCAGGAGCAAAAATTGCGAAAGCACACATAAAACCATTGCGATGAGATTTCTTCCATGTTTTTCTGCGTTTTGCTCATTGTATTGAAGTCGTTTTCGCTATCCAACCGATTTGTAATGCGTACTGGTGCTCAGTGGATGTTTTTTAAACGGAAAGTGGAAACGTACTCAAGAAATGTGCAGCGGTTTTGGTATTTTGTAACCGTTGGTATGCGAACGTGTACAAATATTCATTCCAATGTATCAGAAAACATCGATTTCACGCCTAAGTTGTTGGAAAAACGAACGCTGTATTTTTTCCGATGAAAAGTGCGTGTATGTATTTCCAGGCGATCCAAAGGATATATATATGTAAACACACACTCAGCTTTCTCAATATATTGAGCATATGGAAGCTCAATGAGAATCTGAAACTACAGCAATTTTTACGGTTATACGGTTTATGCGTTCACCTTGCAAATTGTCAATTCCGAAACATATGTTTTGCCTTTCATTTTGCCTTCAGTCGGCCGAATGGAATATTCCATCATTGGAAATGGTTTGGGTATATGAATCTAGTCGGTTAGAAATTTAGACTTTTGCTTATCGGTGACATTCTCCCGTTTTGTGTTGATTCGATTCAAACACACGAATTTTTTTGGCTCATTTCGGATGATCTCAGCTCATGACGTATAAGTCTACCATATCCAAATCGATTCGAATTTTTATTGAAATAATTTAAAGAATCGAGGTCAGCACTTCCAACTTTCGTTGTGTAATGGAAATGTTGAATTTCGAATGGAAATTGTGGTGCAAGCGTCGGCTTGACAAAAACCAACATACTTAATGAGTTACAGAATGTTGAAATATTGATCGAAATTAAACAAGCTGGTCCCCAATTTAATTTGAAAACCAACTGAATCTCTCCGAACAACAGAACTCGAGATGAATATTTAATAATTCCATGGAGCACAACACCAATATAAAATGTGTACTTTATTGCAAACGACAAAATTTATTTCATTAAATTATTTATAGTATGCAATTGGATTTACTTACAGTTTCAGGTTTGCATGAATATTCCGAAAGTTTTGATGCAAAAAAATGAGTTCAAATATCATTAAATTTTCAGTTCGGAAGAGATTTTGAGTGTCAAACCAACAAGTCCAGTCTATCAAGACTTCAGTGTGAAAGACGCTTCCGAAATGCCCAAACCTGTTCGGTTATTGAGAGAATAGTTGCTCGAAGTATACCTAAGATATTTCTTATTCATATGTGTTTGACATATCTGGACATAACCCAAAGCTATTTCATTCATGCTATGGTGGAATGCATAAAATGAAGCTTACATTCGTATTTACTTATTAATGCGGTTATTCTTCCTCAGCAAAAGATGTTGTTTCAAAGATGGAACATAATTCTTCAATTTATTTTCGCCTGATGAATATTTTGAACTGGGCTGGAATTCTAAGTCATTCCACCAAAATCATTCGGAATTATTTTTTTCGTACATAAGACCATATTGGAGTGAAAGAGAGAGATTCCACTATTTTTCAGCGTTCCACCGGAATTATTTCTCACACATTCCACTCTTCCTTGAGTTATCGGAATAATTCCGGTGGAATGCTGAAAAATAGTGGAATCTCTCTCTTTCACTCCAATATGGCTTATGTACGAATAAAATAATTCCGAACGATTTTGGTGGAATGACTTAGAATTCCACCCCTGATTAAAAATGCGAAATATCAGAAAATAATTGTAAAAACCATCATGTTTGATTCCTTTGAAAAGGCCGGCAAAAGTTATTTTGAAAACCTTCAAAGACTGAAGCAAAAATAAACTGACATTTTACTTCGAGCATCATTCAAGCTGCCATTAATAAATCATTCGCAATTTAATTGAGAGTAGAAAATGTGTCGATATTAACCCTCAACTGCATAAGCCCGCCTTTTGGCGGGCATCATTTAAACACCTGTATAATGTGAATCGTACGGCGGATGACATTGCTTCAAGGGGAATTTTTATTTGTCAATGTTTTTTCTTTATTTTTGTCTTTGGCGTCATTTGTCTATGTCGTACGATTGGTGAGTTATAAACAAAAATGTGCACGAAAACGAAAATTTGACAAAATAAATTATTCGGTTTCCAAATTAGACATATTTTTGACACTTTTAAACAATGGATTTCATTGTTCTCTGACTTATTTCTATCGCATTTCCTGACTAAACCATGGGAAATCTAGGATTATGAATATTTTTTTCGTTATCTATGGCCAAAAATCAACCAAATACCAGCCAGCACTCTCAGTCCTAGGAAAAATTCATGCAGTTGAGGGTTAAAATTTGCATCGAAGTCAGTATAGAGTTATCTGAATTTGTTAGAGGATGTGCGTGAGAGGGGGAAAGAATGAAAAAATGATACCGGTTGTGAAGTATTAAGAGAATCTTTTCTGAAATTTCCATGACTGTCGGCGTGCGGATCGACAAGATAATGTTTCATTATTCATTTGGCGAAAGGAAAACTTGCGTTCCTTTTGAAAAGAGCATTAAAAGTTTAGTTTTCCATATTGATAAAGTCATCAAGCGTCAAATGGCAGGAAAAGAGATAATAATGTTGGAAAATGCGTCAGATCTGAGGCCAGAGTGGCCAAAGCGACCGAGAAACAGTTAGAAAGAGAGAGACAGAGTGTGTGTGTGTGTGTATGGAAAGCGAGAAGGAGAGCGAAAAATGCATTAAATAATAAAAGTTGATAAGTTTATGCCAGCTGAAAGAAAATGCCACTCTTACAAAGTCGATTCTGTTTCAATGAACAGAAGTAGGAAAAACCAAAAGTATCAAATGAATGAAAGAGGGAGAGAGAGAGAAAGGTGAAGGGAGTGAAAAAGCAAGCAAAAGGATGTAAGTCATTTGACTTATGCTTAAAAAGAAGTTGGCAAAATTGCACTTGCACTTGAGCATTCGTTATTTCGCATTTAAAGATGGAAACAGCGAACGAAACTGCATGGGAAAAATGAAAACGCAAAAATTATAATTAATGCACTTTCTAATGGATGTGAAAAGAGAAAAACTTTTCCCCATTTTAATTTTCGGTTCGTTTTCCATGTTATTTGCCATCGCTCAATTAAGAAGTGGAAATGCGAGCGATCGCAGATGTATTGTGATGTTGTGTGTGTGTGTGTGTGTGTCAAAAGTTGGGACGTAGAATTAACAACGAGAGCAATTTGATTACTTTTCTTGAAACGTTGTATTAATTCGTTTCGTTTGCTTTGTTGCCCTTTTTCGTTACAGAAGCCGATTATACGTTGGACGATTCGTTCTGGAATGACGAGAGCCCAGTTGGTAAGTGGAGGTTTTTTATATCTTGCACAATTTTCACAATTATTATCGTTATTTGCCATTTTCGTAACAAAGCTAAAACTGGAATCATTTGATTTTCACCATTGATTGGGTCTGTGCAAATTTGCATCGATTTTCTTTTTGTTTAAATTAAGAAAATCATTTTATTCGTGCATCGACGGGTTCATTATCACCATGCGCTGTTCCCATGTCACCAGCAGAGAAGTCAACTTGAAAAATATCATCGGAATCGATTTAAACGCGCTAGAAAATGGTGGCACAAACGAATGGAATACGCTGAAGCAAAACAAACAGAAGGGTTTAATTGGTGTTTTCCATTGTTAAAACACAAATAACATTTAATTAATGTTAATTACCTAAATTAATGTTCAACGGCAATTACATGGCAGCTCATCTGCCGCTATGAGTTTCTTCGTTGACTTTTGTATTGCTCTTCGACCCGCTTATGTCATCTCTCACGCGTTCAAGTTGCATGAATCGGCCGAAACACCGAACATCTGAAGCTGTGAATTTTGACCCTTTCCGTTGAAATTATTACGATTACTGCTTCAACCGAAGTTTCGTTAGATGCTTCCCAAAACTGCGCCAAAGATTAAATTACGGACAAAGAAAACTATGCCGTGAGCTTAATTTTCCAACGAGCAGAAAAGAAAAAATCAAATTAAACCAAGGAAAAAATGCGAACCATTTATTTCTGTGTTTGTGAGTGTAGATACGTTTATAATTGAATGGGATAAGGGGCGGTGGCAGAAGCAGTGTAACAACAATCCAGTTTATTTGCCGAGTGGATTGCGAAGGGGAGCAAAAATTGCGAAAATAAACAAACTTTCTCGGTTTTTATTACATTAAGCACCATTTCTTTCAATGGCTAAACATGGACATTTGTATAGCTTTTTTTCCTGTCCATTTCTCATCAACTAATTTATTTTCATCTCGTTTTCGCATGCATACGAAACTTTTATGCACATCGAATGGTCAGAGCAACGAATTCAAAAGAATTCCACCCTCTCAACAGAGGGAGTTGGAAAAAGTTTCCGCACATAGAAAAAAGAAATGTGTACTACGGAAAGGGTGGGAGAAAGAGTAGCACACAGTAGAGTGCGTTGTTTGTAAACAATATTCGAGAATTCATTTTTTTCATCAGATTTTCTGGAGTTGTTCAACTAAATTTTATTGATAATGTTTTGAATTGATAGAAAAAGTGAACGCCACAATTCACTAAATACATTAACTTACACGGAGGAAAAACGAAGGGTAGATGGAAAACTCGTCAATTCTTGAGAGAGAGAGAGAGAGAGAGAGAGAGAGAGAGAGAGAGAGATAGAGAAAACTCTAACTCACTCTCTAGAGCATCGCGACTCTCCGCTGAGAGCTTGTTACAGCCAAGAAAAATACATTTAAATTAAAATGCATTCGGTCATTCAATGGAAAAAGTTTTGTTTTTGTTATTCGTTCCTGTTCCGCTATTGAGTTTGACTCGTTTCGTTTAGTTTTGTTGTCAACAACATAACTTTATCTAGCCATCGAACAGTCAATCGGAATGTTGATGACGTCAATGTGAAGCCATACCAAAATGCTTGCTGAATTTCGATTTGGTTTTGGATTTTGGCTTTTCGATTTGTGTAAGTCGAATGGCTTATCGCTACGGGTTAACGAAAACTTCTGCTAAAACTCACCGATGCGAACCAAATTATGAAGGAATGTTACTTTTCGCAAACGAAGAGTAATTCGATTTTCTGGTGAAAAAAAATCTATCAGAAACAATTTAAAGTTGTATTTCCATTTGCATACGTCCATTTCACATTTGAAATGTTCACAGTGAATTCATTTTTGATTTGGTTTTGTGCAATGCCAAATATTATTAAGTTTACTCGCATTTATCATCCACAATAAGCTATGTCATCTGATAAAATAAAATTTAGATGCAGCGTAGGCCCATAATGCAAGCGATTTCCGTTCAGTTGTCAACATCACAACGCGAGAGAGTGTCAGGAATACAAATGTAATTCGTCGATCCGCTCGAATTGTTCGTATGCAAATTTTCCAATTTTTCGCGAAGCGTGTTGGACCCGATGAATAGAGAAAAATCAGTGAAATGGCTCTCATTTCACGTTCTTAGATTCAGCGTTGTTGAAAGCCATCGTTATTCATGAACAATTGACCAATTTACTTTCGTTAGTAATGCGGAAAATCAGTGCCATTTCTGCCCCTATCCCTGTCTTGATGCGAATACAGAGATTTGAATCGTCTATTTCAGTCTCTAACATACATACACAAATACAAAATAATTACATGCGCCTGTCATCCATCTGACGTAAACTGAAAAAGCAGAAATAAAACTCGACGAATTTCCATTTGTGTGAGCCAAAAGTCCAACCAGTTCCTCTTTACACTCCCATTTTGATTTCCTCAAAATTTCCACCATTTTACTGGATGTTTCAGTACTATGGACGCACTCAGTTTCTGTATCTTCACTTAATTACTCGTCTAATTGGAATGAATTGTGCGTATCTCGATTCAACAATCACTGAGTAAATAATCCAATGTGGAAAAATATTTATAAACAAAGAAACGGATAATTAGAAATGAAAAACGGTCTTGCGCGCCACACCATCCACTTCTACGGAACAATTCAGACAATAGCATGAACAACCCCACACCCAACGTCCAATTCGGTTATGATAAAAGATATATCCCATGGAAGCAGACATTATCCATGCGCTCGCCCAACTTATCATTGTGGTCGAGTCCGGTTTAAAAACTAAAGGAAACAATAACGAAAACGGAAGAGATAAAGAACACAAGCATTAGCGATCAGCAGCAGCAGCAAACAATAACAAGATTAAGTAAACGAAAAGAAGCACAAACAACTATGTTCACAGTGACACCGGTTACGACTGTACCCTTTCTCACACGATGAACAATTCCCCCATTTAAAGACAACACCACATTCGAGCAAACACACAAAATAGCGAGATTCAAGCACCACGTGCTTTCGTTTCAAATATATAAAAAATCAACAATATACCATAAATTTTATGTTGAGCCAAGCTACGAGCTTTGAATTAGTTTTAATTGCATTATAAACGTGCGGCGCGCGAAATAAATAAGAGGAGTGGCGAATGGATTTAAACTGCAGCGAATTTCGCATTATTACTTTTTTGTGCTATTATATATTTTTCCCGTCTATGAATGTGGATAAGTTCAGACAACAAACTGAGATAGTCATGTGGAACAGTTGAAAAAGTCTACAGTCTACACCTTAAACATTGCACTCGATTCAACTATTGCAAGAAACCCGGGAACCGAGTGAAAGAGCAAGAAAAAATGGTCTGCAGAAAATGGAAATGTAACAAAAACCACAATAGCAACTTATGATGACGATTTTTTTTACAATAATAATAATGGAAAAAGACAGGAAAAGGGATGAAAAATTAATGACATAGAACATGGAACGGCATCGCCGAAATAGGTCAACAGGAAATGAAACGAGCCTGCAGAAAAAAATTTACTATTAAAAAAGAACAAAGAATGAAATCGAATGTAGCGACAAGAGCAAGGGGAGAAGCTGGTCGTCGCATACGCATGTTGGTCCAAAGTGAGCCCATTGCTCGAAGTGAGCTTGTGGTGCTTTATTGTCGATTACATCCTCTTGGGTTCTATATATTCCAAGTCAAGTCGACACATACTCTACTAAGAAGCAAAAGAGAAAAAAATGTATACTGTTGCTACAGCGTCCAAGCTCAAGTATTCATGACGCTCATTTCTTATATCTTCACTGCCTTTTTTCCTCTTTCACATTTCTGATTCGATTTTTTACCCTTCAGCTTGCTCATTTTGTTTTTTTGTTCGCTTCACCCATGTAGTATGTGTAGTTCGACGGATCCGCATTGCGTCTTGTTTCGTTTACAGATTGCTTCGTCGGTTCTTTTGCTCATTTCATTTCGCTGGTCTTTTTCGCTTTTTCTCATGAATTCCATTTTACTTTAGCACATCGTACACTGCGTGGTGTCCACTTGTCGGAAATATTCTTCGTCTCTGTCGCTCGCTTTCTCGGCTTCATACACGTTTTTTATGTGTGCATCCTCTACATAGAAAAACTCCATAAATATAGTTTTGTGTTGTTCGCTGTCTATTGTTCATTCCGAACAACGGCAATACATCGACGAGTTGACATATCACCGACCAAAACTTCGCCTCAAAACTATAAAAATATCAGCGAGAATAAAGAAAAAAAAATTGAAAAACTTTCCCTCTTTCGATACGTGCTTTTTTCTGTGTGCAAAGAGGAGACTCTAATTTCCTTGTTGTTTTCTTTCATTCCATTGTTCCGAACTATTCGATCTGGTGCATAAAAAGTAACAAAAACAACAATGGCGAAAAAATAACATTGAAAAGTTCAACTGAGGAGAATCGAACAACCAAAACAAGAGGAAGAGAAGTTGATATGAAATTAGACAGCAGATACTGAGAAAAGGATAAAGAAAAAAATAGAAGAAGAGTTCGCAAGAGGCGAACGCGAACGATGTCAAGAACATTTCTATTGAATGTTGATAGCGTGCGAACTTCCGGATAAGAAAATATTGTATCCAACTGAATACCCGACTAAAAGTCACTGATATTGGCTGGCAAATGGCAAAAATAGAGTCGAAAATGACATAATTTAATGTCATAGCAACATCATGTGAATAAAACTTAGAACGATGACCGTTGTCCATTCGCTTCTATGTATACGCATTATTTTTTCGTTGAAAGAAGTTTTCAAAAAAAAGGTTTCAACCCCCTGATTTGGTCCAATTCACGTGTCGAACTTTTTTGAAGAAATAAAAAATAAAATGCCGTCCTCAGCTTGAGCAAATTTTTCAAAAGGTTCGATTTCTCGTGAATCTCCATCAAACGTTGATTCTGCTCTTGGTATTTTTCTATCTCTTGCCCAACCAGTGTGTATCAAAAGTAATGTCTTCATTAGTCTTGGCCTTTGT